TGCACGATTTCTCCATTGGCATTCACCAATGGCGATGTGAGGTAAAGTATCATTAGAGCTCTCTAAGTGGGTTCGTATTAGTGGAGAGAGGCGGCAGGATGGGCATGCCGCCTTAAACCAATTAGGGCCTAATGGATAGAACATTGAACTGTGATAACTTACAACGGTGCCATGTATGAAAAGAGTACTTGAGAGAGACTTAATAAAAACTTAAAGTGGGTCGCTAGTATGAAATACAAGCCTAGTAAAAGTCTTAGAAGTATATCAATAAGCAGAGGCGAAGTTAAGTGATAGGGAAGTTTGTAATAGACGAAGAGGGAAATTCCCAATAATTTAGGGAAAATCGGTAAAGAGTCGTAGGTTGCAGGGTTGCGTACAAGGCCAGACTTGAATGACGGAAGAACAGGCTAGTGCAGTTTTCACGGAAAGATATGTGCTGAAGGGACTTAGATAGAATAGATAAAATCAGGGCTTTCCAGCGAAATTGACAGTTGTGGTGTCTCGCAGTTTGGGTTATTTCCCAGGCTTGATGTGGTCCACTTTCTGTATATGAGATTCCATTATCTGCTGCCAGAAAAAAATGGAAAGATTACTACGCTTTACATTAGGGAAGTCTAGGTGTCTAGATGTTTAAGTGAGGTGGCACTGTATGGGAAAGGCATACTTTCAGCTCCCAGTAACTAGTCTAGTGGAGGAGTTTAAATGTATAAGGTTAGGACAGAGCTCCTGTTATCTGGAGTAACGATGTGGAAGTTAGTAAGGTGGTTCCAAACCCAATCAAGGGGAGAAAGTGGAATCCAAGAATAGCAGGCAGGAGGCGGAAGCAACGCTCAGGCATACAGGAGATTGTGGGTAATGTCCAAAATAGGCTGGGAGGCTTGGGGCTTGGCCCAAGCAAAACCGGTTGTGGAGTTGAGAGCAGGTCCCAAAGAGAAGAGAAAACTAGTGTGGAGCAAGCTTTGTAGGACAGGAGGAAATATTAAAGGGTGCAAAGGCAGTGGCCCAGGCCTAAGCAGGGGGACAGTGGGTTGAATTCGGAAGGTGAAGACAACAGAAAAGCTTAGCTGGAAAGAGCTGTGGAGTATGGAGGAAAGTAGCATTAGATTTTTGATAGGGGCAACATATGATGTATTGCCAACTCCCCAGAACCTAAACTTCTGGTAAATGGAGACCCACTATGTTCATTGCGTTCAGGGCACTGCAACTTTTAAAGCACATTTTGTCAGGCTGTAACGGTTAGTCTGTCACAAGGCGGGTATACGTGGCGACATAACCAGGTTTTAAAAAGCTTAGCTGCAGGAATTGAAGATTTGCGGAGGCAGGCAAATTTAGGAGGGTCTAAAATAAAAGAGAGTTGCAATCAAGTTTGTCAAGAGGGAGGAAAGTTATTAAGACAGCAAGAGAGGCAAGGGCAGCTTAGTAGAGGGTGCTTGTGATTGGAAATGCAGGGTAGATTTAGGAGGGAAAACTTGTTGTTCCCAGGGAAATAGCCAGTACAAAGCTATGTTCTGACATAGTCTTGTGTTCTAGGAGTATGAATGAGAGATATATTTCATAGAGCTGACTGTTCTGTGGGAGCTTCAGTTGTAGAAAGCATATGAAAGGAAAAAAAGCGTAGGTATGCTAGAGTTAGGAGCAGAAGCAGAGCAGCCAGGATGAAAATTAGGATTTGTCCAGTGGAAGTAGGATGTAGAGGATTTGTAGCAAGGTCTGTTTGTCTCTTTGCTGTGAGGGATTAGCGCGAGAAGTGGACAGAGTGTGAGGAAAATATTAAAGGACATGTCAGATGAGGCAGCAAGATCCAGTCAGTGGATTGTGCGATTGAGAAGAAATAAATGGCAGCTGGGGGCCCTAGCGAAGGGGAAGCACTTTAGGATAGACAGACTCTTAGTGAGAAGCAGGGAAGAAATCCAGGAAGGAGGAAAGTGTTTTTAAGTGCGGGGTGGGCCTGTGAGCCTCTTTTGAGCACCATTGTGGTTAGTCCATGTGAAGTTGGCCTGTATTGTTGTTTGTATTATTTGGAATTGGTTTGTAGTGTCTGTCCCGTTTAGGGTGAGTTTGTTTGTTTTCAGGTGAGTTGCATATGGGAGTTGTATTGTCTCTGGAGAGTGCGGGGCCAGTAGGGGAGGTAGCAGCACAGCCTAATCCGGCGGGGAGAGTTTAGCCCAACAAGGCATCTCTCCCTGACTCTACCTCCCTCATTCAAATTGACGCCACTTTGCCGTGGGGAAAAAAAAAATCCTAGTCCTACACCAACCAGAACTGTTATAGGGAGTTTTTGTTTAGCTGAACTATGCTAGTGTGTTTGATCCTAGTTGATGCATAGTGTTGTTTTGGAGTAGCATAAGCCAAGATAAAGAAAAGTAGTCTGGTGAGTGAGGAGCAAGCTGCATGGCTGGCATTAGGGAGTGAACTCTGGGGACAGCCAGTGGCATCACTGTCTAGCCTCCTGGAGGTTGTTCGTGGTGACCCACTAGACGGAACGCATCGCGTGAAGAGGGGAGGTTCCCACCTGATGACCACCAAAGACATGTTAGTTATCCACATGCTCATTGATTCTGTATATAGCTAAATCTACATAGTTTCATAGGACTTAGGATGTTAAGCTAGGGAGCTATTCACTGAGTCTGGTCCATTTTCTATAGCACACGTTTCTTGTGTTTAACTTAAATAAAATAATATTAATATTTCTAATATTAATATTTTCTTAATTTATGATAGCCGATAAATTGATAGACAACCGAAATCCAACATATTTGGTGTCCAGCTCATGAGGTAGAGCTCAGACCCAACACAACATCCCCCCGAAGAGCTGAACCCTGAACCCTCACAGACTTAGTGACGTCACCTGGTGAGTGTTTCAGTGTGAGAGGCTGAAGGACTCAACATGGTATAAAGAGGAATAGGACAGCACTTATATCACGTATCTTGATGCTAACAAAACATTTGTATTCAATTGTGGGTTTGGGACTTTTGATTTTACATTTTTATTCACTTCCTTCGCTTCCTGTTTGTAAACGAAAAAATAATGTTGGATCAGATCTGATCCAATCTGGATATTTGGAATTCATCACCACGTCATCGCAGGACAGACTCCACAGTTCAGGCTCTGACTCACAGTGACTCTGTTTATAATATAATTTACTGTCTTTACTTTTCTTCTAACGCTAATGTTAGCTCCTTTCATACTTGTTTGTTATCCGTTCTTCTTCTATCTTATTCCTTTTTCGTTTTATGGCCGTTATTTGCTGTTTTTTACGCTTCGCCCCTGATAACCATGGCAACTCCATGTTTATTGTCACAACGCTATGAACTTTGGGTTATTCCCTCAGGCAAAGTCTGGACAAATGCGGACTCACGGATAGTGTGAATGAAGGGCTCACAATGTCTGAAGGAGAGTCCTTATGTCCTCGATGGATTGACAGTAGGTCAGAACTAAACCTCAAAAACTTACCTGGAACGCGCCTCCAAGACTGTGAGTCTGTGAGGGTGGACCCTGGGATTGGGCCAGTGTCTTTTAGGTGTGGCAGCAATCATTTCAGGCAGTTGAGTCAGGGCAGCATTTCGTATTCAAGTGAGAGTACGAATAAAAGGGACGCAGATTCCAGGTCAAGGTTCAGACTGTTAAGTCTGTAAAATTTTGTGTGTGTGGTTCTGTAACAATAGAACACAACAGTACGACCTGATTAGCATCAAGAATAACAGCAGAGTAAACACAGCTACACATAAGTATCTACACAGATAACGGCTAGCATACAGTGCTACAGGCCTATAATGACTGTGACAAACTAGAAAGTAGCACTTTGCAAATACTGAATCAATATGTAAACTGCCTAACATAAATGACACTAATGTCACTAGTTAACAATTATCCATCTTAAACAGGAAACAACCTCATTGTAGAGAAAAACAGTAGAAAAACTAGCTAGCAGAATACAATTAAACACAATTCACATACTATCACAAGCTAGCTGCTAGCTCCGATTCACGTCATGTGAGAAACAACAATTAACTACGGAAAAAACGCACTTGCGGCTAAATAAACACTAACTGTCCGCAACATAGACACTTGAATTGGGACCACTGTGTCAAAGTCTACTCATACATTCAGAGGAGGCACTCCTCCACTTCTTAGAGGAACAATCCAGTCTATCTGCACATGAGCATGTGAGGTTTTGTAGGTATATGTTGGTAAGTGTGTCGGGAAGTTTGAACACACACTGTCACTTTAGTTTGGCTGCAGTCCAAAAATTTTTCACCTGAGCTTTCTATGTGTTATTTAATGACTGTTCTAGTCAGTTTGGTTAAAGCCTACTGGATTCTAATTTAATACCTCAAATTAAAAATCAGGTACTTAAGCTGCCTCTTACCTGGTTATTTTTAATGGATCACAGCAGTAAAAACAGACCTTACTGTTAAAATCTTGGCACAAGTTGTCACATTACAGTAAGCAAAAACTATGGATGCACACCCTAAAGAAATGTCCGTGGTCCAAGGCAGACACGACCTAACCGTCACCGCTTCAGCCAGTTGCTGGGATACGTCAGCGTCGCCGCCATGTTGGTCAGGGCAAGACTGCTCTGTAAACAAACAGGGTTAAACAGAAGAGTCGCAGTTTTTCTGGACGAAATGATCGATTGTGTTTATATTTCTCAACCGATTTCAATAAGTCATTTTTATATTCAAGGATTCATGATCTACGTGCAGTAAAAATAAAAGTTTGGTCTCTAGTTAATTAGAATCGTTATAGTTTAGGCTCTAATGGGTGCGTATATGTCTATGGCTGTCACCTGAACGTCTCACTGACCAATGCGTTCAGGAGCATACAGAGTGTTAAACATACAAAATAATTCCTCAGAAATGATCATACAGTTGAATCAACAACTACCTAAAACCATTTTTAATAAAAACTGAACATTATAATCTTCATTAAGGAGGATTTACTGAAGGACTGTTGTATTAGACTACATCAGTTTCAGCTAGATGTTCCTAATAAATTGACAACTGAGTGTATATACTGTAAGTAATTGTCAGTTGAATGCACAGACTGCAAAGTGCCTGACTCGAATTAATTAGTTGATTTCGGTGCTGTCCTCACCTGTGCACTGATACACCTGGCAGCCAAAAGATGCTATTTAATCTAACAGTTTTTATCATATTATTATTATCACCATATAACATTATTTTACCTCTCCCCTTAAAATGTAACTTAACACATTTACTCAAGAGACATTTTAACTGCTTTACTTTGTACTTTTATCAGAGAACAGTGTTTTTACTTCTACTGTAGTAAAATGTCTTTTCAGTAGCAGTAATTAGTGACCGTTGACGCCCTGACGTCAGTGTAGTGTCTCATCTTCTGTCTGGAGTTTCTGTTACTGGTTGTGTTTTTCTCCGTCTGAACACAGTAAATGTTGCTCTTTTCTTCATCACAGTGTCTAACTACCTGCTGTACATTTAAACTTACACTAGTTCTGCTCTAGCACCCAGAGCTCTCTGCTCCTTTTAGTGAATTTTACAAATTCAGCGGTTGTCTACATGCTATTCATTTCAGCTAGTTACTTTAGCTTAGCAGTTAGCGCTAGCTTCTCTCTCTCTCTCTCGGTGTGTCTTGAAACAACAGATGACCTTGTTCATCAAAGTGTGATGTTGTTACTTCAGTGTAGAGGATTATGGTGTGTATTACATCTGCAGTGATGTCTGCTGTCTTACCTTCGACACACAGCCCCATGCCATAAAACCGCCAGCTCCATTGAAACTGACTGGAAATGTGGACGCATCTTGGAGGGATTTCAAACAGCAATTCCTGCTGTATATCGCGGCTGTCGGAGTGGATCGACGAGCAGATGAGAGAAAAATAGCCATGCTGCTCACTGTCACCAGCACAGAAGCAATAGAAGTCTTCAATACGTTTGTGTTTGCTCAACCCGGTGACAAAGATAAGTTTGATGAGGTCTTAAAGAAATTTGACGAGCACTGCCTGTCAAAGAAAAATTAAACGTACGAGAGGTACGTCTTTCGCTAACGCTTACAGCAACAGGGTGAGTCATTTGATAATTTTCTCACCAACCTCAAGATTAAAGCTCAGTCCTGTAACTTTGATAATCTCAGAGACTATGATAAGAGATCAGATAGTGTTTGGAACTAATGAGAAGAAGCTCCGAGAGAAATTAAGAGAAACAGAACTCACGTTGGACAGTGCTATAAAAATATGTCAAGCCAGTGAGCTAGCACGACAACATGTTCTGACATTCAAAGAGCCTGCTCACAGAGCCGCGTACCAAGAAGCAGAGGCAGTGCACACCTTATCACTGAAAGGAAAGCCACTGAGCAAATTTAAAAACAGTGACAGCAAGATTAATACAAATGATACAAAGATGTTCACTTGCAAGAGATGTGGTGAAAAACACAGACCAAGACAATGTCCTGCCTACGGCAAAATATGTGCAAAATGTAAGGGACAAAACCATTATGCCAGAATGTGTCACTATAAAAAGAAAGGGCAGGGTGTACACACAGTACAGGAAGACACTGATGACAGTGATGATTTGAGTGAAATGTTTTTCATCAAAATGGTGTCACATGATGAAGATGACAGCACACAGTCTTCAAAAATAAACAATACAGGCCAGGCTGTAAATACAGTAACAGATGACAAATGGACTGCTCCACTGTTAGTCAATGGGACAATTGTAACATTTAAAATTGACACAGGAGCAAAAGCTAACTTGATCAATGAGAGTGATTTCAAAGCACTGACTGAAAAGCCTAGAAGATTCACAGAAAAAGTCACACCTCTGAAGGCTTATAATAATCAGTCAATAAAAACAATAGGTGGATGCAGACTTAAAGTGACAGTGAAAGGCAAACAGCATAACCTGTTGTTCACCATTGTGCCTAATGGACATGAGTCACTCCTAGGAGACAAAGCATCTGAGGCCTTAGGACTAGTGAAGAGGATCTATCAGATAAACACTGACAAACAAGGCAAAAGACTGGACCACCAACGGTGTGAGGGAAGTACAGACATAGTCAATAAATTTCCTTCTGTCTTCAAAGGACATGGGACATTACCTTACACTTACAAAATTCAGCTCAAGGATGATGCCAAGCCTGTAGTGCATGCTCCTAGAAGAGTACCAGCACCACTCAGAGCTGGCTTGAAAAAAGAGCTTGAAAGAATGACTCAAATGGGCGTCATTGAACGAGTGGAAGAGCCCACAGACTGGGTGAACTCGATCACATACGTCAAGAAGAAGAGTACAGGTGCTTTAAGAGTCTGCCTTGATCCCAAAGATTTAAATGAAAATATTAAAGGAGAGCATTATCAAATCCAAAAACGAGAGGAGATAATGAGTGAAATGGCTGGTGCAAAGCTTTTCAGCAAACTAGATGCTTCACATGGGTTTTGGCAGCTGCGGCTAGACCCAGAAAGCAGCAGGTACACTACCTTCAACACACCATTTGGGCGTTACTGTTTCTTGAGGCTCCCGTTTGGCATCAAATCAGCACCAGAGATCTTCCACAGAGCAATGGAGTCCATCATAGAAGGTTTGGAAGGCACCAGCGTCTACATTGATGACTTGGTTGTCTGGGGAAAACACCCCAGCAACATGATGAAAGGCTGGAGAAACTCTTACAGAGAGTTAAAAAGTATGGACTAAAACTGAACAGGGAAAAGTGCCTGTTTGGGGTCACAGAGATGACTTTCTTGGGAGGCAAGCTCACGAGTGAAGGAGTGGAACCTGACAAGTCGAAAGGGCAAGCCATATTGGACATGCCCGCCCCCACTGACAAAAAAGGAGTACTTCCTGGGTAAGTTCATTCCTAATCTTACCTCCAAAACAGCATGTCTCAGGGAGTTGCTACAGCACAACACAGTGTTTGAGTGGACTGCTCGACATGAGAAAGAGTGGAAAAAAATAAAGGAAAATGTAACTACAGAGCCAGTCCTCACATTCCAGCAAAAACAAAGATGCCTCAAAAGATGGCTTGGGAGTTGTGCTGCTCCAAATGAACGGAGACAAATGGCAGCCTGTGGCGTATGCGTCCAGATCAATGACAGAGACCGAGCAACGCTATGCGCAAATAGAAAAAGAGACTTTGGGCTTAGTGTTTGGATGCGGAAAGTTTCACAGGTATACGTATGGATTGCCAACCTTTACAGCAGAGACTGACCAAAAACCACTCATATCTATCAGAAAAAAGAACCTCAATGACATGTCACCCAAAATACAACGTATGATGATGGCGTTACAGCGTTATGACTTTGAGCTAATTTACACGCCAGGGAAATACAACGTGCTGGCAGATGCTTTATCACCAGCACCAGCACCAAGCAGTGACATGCCGGTCAGCTCTACAACTGATGATGCTGAAACACAAATCAACATGGTGAACGCTTCACTCCCAGCATCAGATGTCATGTTGCAGAAAATTGTACAGGAGACTGCCAAAGATCCTCTGCTGCAGAAAGTGTCCCACCATATCCGAAATGGTTGGTCAAAAGGAGTCTGCCCGCAGTTCGTGCAGATTTGTGTATGGCTAATGGTCTGGTGCTGAGACAAGACAGGTGTGGTGATCATGGACTCATGGTTTTATTTTGAAAGACTGTTGCCGGAGTTTCCTTTCCTGTTTGTGCTGTGTGTTTGGCTGTTTACTTTTCCCCAGAGGCTGCTCCCCTTCCCCGCCCGTGACGCTGAGGCTGATTGCACTCACCTGCTGCCAATCAGCATCTCCAGGCCTATAAGACCGCTGCAGACTTCAGCCTCAGTGCCAGAGTATTATCGCCTCAACGCAGTGGTACACGGCTCCAGAGAAATAAGTATTTTGAAAGACTGTTCGCTTTACTACCGTGTTCCTTATCCTCCTGTTTGCCTGCCTTTTCCAGTGTCTCCCTCCGTGCCTCACACCAGCCTCCAGATCAGCACTCTCCACCACAACTTTTGGTTCATCCCTGAACTCCGGTTTTCCTTCGTTCCTGTTTTATTATTTACAATAAACCCTGTTAAACTGTTTCCCTGTCTGGCTGCTTTTGGGTTCACTTCCTCCGTGCCGTCACAACAGGATTGTCATCCCATATTCCATGTGCCAGGACATGCTTCAGCGTATCCATGAGGGACATCTTGGCATGGAGAAATGTAAAAGGAGAGCGAGAGAAGCAGTTTATTGGCCAGGCATCAACAAAGATATTGAGGAGATGATACAGAAATGCGAAACATGTCTCAAACATCACTACAAACAAACAAAAGAGCCGATGCTAATAGCAGACCTACCCACTGCACCGTGGCAAAAAGTGGGCACTGATTTATTTCATCTGCACGGCAAGGACTATCTTCTGGTGATTGACTATTATTCTAACTATCCAGAAGTTGCACAGCTTTTCAGTACATCAGCACAGTCTGTCATCACACACATGAAAGGGTTTTTCGCCAGACATGGAATCCCACAATGTGTCGTCAGTGACAACGGTCCTCAATATGACTGTGGTGAATTCAGCGAGTTTGCAAAGCAATATGGATTTCAACAGATCACCTCTAGTCCCTTATATCCGCAGGCAAATGGACAGGCTGAAAAAGGG